CCCGCAAATTGAAATACTATTGAGAACCTGATAACGTATATTTTTTATCTGGACAAATCACTGTATGAGTTGCTGCCACCTAGTGACAAAACAGAAAAGTAATTGATGGCGCTATTCGTCTTCCCCCTGCGCACTGAAACCGCTGAAGTCGTCTTCTTCAGTGTCGGAGTTGAACAGCTTCAGAAACTTCGTCACGTACCGTTTTAGTCTCTCTGTCAGTGTCGCGCTCCGTGTCACTGTCATCCCGAGGTAAAGTTGCCTCTGAAGGTGCGCTGCTCTCTTCCTACCGCTGCCGTCTCCAACGTCTCACCATGGATTCATTAACGCCAAGCTTACGTGCAGCAGCCCTATTTCCTGTCTAGCCAAAACTAGCGTGTTCTTCTTTGCACTGACTTCCCCTGTCTGTTTTGTTTTTGCACTTCCTGCTAGAACGCTCCCCAGGCGTTCTAACAAGGGGGCGTCCTGAAGAAAAAGCCATAGAAAAGCCGCATCTTTATATAAGCCGCATGGTTCAAAGCGTGGGTAAAAAAGTAGCGGGCTTATAGTCCGGAAAATACGGTAAATATGTGTAATTTGAAATTCCTTTTCCCATGTTTTTGGTCTGTAGCAGGTAGCTGGCATGCTATCAGCTAATGCTTAGGTGCTTAGCCCAATCTTAAAACAACATATTTTTTGATTATGGGATGAACTGATCTCCAATGGGGATATTCTTGTTGTAACGCAGAGGTTCCCAAAATGGGGGGTGTGACCGCCCTATAGGGGCCGTGGTGCCGTTGCAGGGGTGGCGTGCATGGAATTCTCTCCTACCAACTGACCAAAGTTGGCAAAACTAGCAATTTAAGGTGTGTCCTTAAATTTTGGGGGGGCGCAAAAAAGGTCTTATAAAGTAGTTCCCAAACTAGAGAAAGTTTGAGAACTACTGCTGTAAGGCAATAGCATTCCCTCGTTATCGTTCCCCTTTGTACCACAATTTGATTGAAATATTTTTCACGCTAATTTTTTTTTTTTTACATTTCAGTTCCAGTACAGACCAACTTGGTCCCTGCAAAGAAGGTGCAGTCGGGGATGCTGCAGTCCAGCCTGGTGCAAGCCAGCGTTGCCACCATGCAAAATCCAATGGGCTGTGCCCTCCCTCGGCTCTCTGTGAGCTCTCGTCCAGCCAGTGTTGTGGCAAGCATGGAGGTGGTGGCCGATGGCTTGGTCCCATTCACCATGATGAAGCTAAAGACCGTGCTTGCGGTGTTTGTGGTGGTGGTGGCGTATCTCGTGGCAGGCGGCTTGGTGTTTCAAGCGCTCGAACAGCCCTTTGAAAACAACCAGAAGATCACCATCACGGCAGAGAAGGCGGCCTTCCTGCACAAACACCAGTGCGTGAGTCCAGATGAGCTTGAGGCTATCATCAGGGTAAGAGCATCCATCATTCAATATATATTTATATATATAGCTTTCTTCATTCCTAAATGTGGTTCCTAGGGGAGACTCTTGCATCAATCTCATCTCTCGCACTCCATTCTGCACTTTGGAAACTGGATACAAACCAGTAACAGTAATCCTGATGCTTCAATATATTCTTTGAAAGTAATTTCAGCAATTTTCATAGAAATCGAGGACTCTAAATCGTAATATCGTTTAATTTCTTGGGATCTGGTTTTAATGTTCAATCGAAAGTACATTATTTTCCGGATTATAAGTCGCACCGGCCAAAAAATGCATAATGAAGAAGAAAGAATAAGTCACACCAGCCAAAGGGTGAAAAGAAGTGCGACTTACAGGAGCAGCAGATACTGGTACACAAGCCCAGAGTTCCCTCTAGTAGCTGTCTATTTACATACTGAAAATATGTACATTTTCAGTTGTATGTGAGTAGCAGATACTGGTACACAAACCTAGAGTGCCCTTGTATGTATTATTATTTTATAATGTTTTTCAGTTTATATTTCTGCTATATTTTGCCATATAGTGAATTCTGTTAGTATCAGAGTCTGAATAACCTGTTGTTTTGAAACATTGACAGATGAAAAAATTATATATATATGACTGAATTCTTTTTGAATGAAGTAAATTAGTAAAACTGAAGTACATTTTTCCACTGCGGCCCAGTACCAAATGAACTGCAGACCAGCACCGGTCCCCGGACCGGGTGTTGGAGACCATTCTGTAGCCCTTCACATCAGTTTTCTCTGAGAGAAATACACAGTACATGTGGGATCATTGTCATTTTTGTCCTACTCTTGGTTACTTGACTTTGTTGTAGGGTTAAGAAATGAGTGATGATGTCGTTCCTAAAGCAACCCTCACCATTTATCCGGCCTTGGGAACAGACAGGAAAGTTTGGAGGAAAAGCTAGAGAAGCCAGATTGAGATGGTTTGGACATGTGCAGAGGAGGGACAGTGGATACATTGGTAGAAGAACGTTAGAGATGGAGCTACCAGGTAGGAGACAAAGAGGGACGCCAAGGAGGAGATATATAGATGCAGTGAGGGAGGACATGCAGATTCGAGTCAGAGTAGAAGACGCAGAGAACAGGGAGAAATGGAAAACGCTGATACGCTGTGGCAACCCCTGAAAAAAGGGACAAGCCGAAAGGAAAAGAAGTCAAAGTCCAATGAAACGATACTTCACAAGCCTTACTGCAGTTTTCCCACTGGCACTGAATATGGTATTTGCTGCGCAGTGACACCAGTTTCACTCACGATCTGTGTTCGCACTGATCGCACTGGCGTTGATTCTGTATTTAAGTATTTTCCCCGACTATAAGTCGCACCAGCCAAAAACATGTAAATGTAAAATCAGGTAGCAGGTACTGGTACACAAGCCTAGAGTGCCCTCTAGCGGCTGTCAGTGTGAAAATAACGAACATGTGAAATTGTATATTTTAATATATACGTCACACCTGAGTGTAAGTCGCAAACCCAGCCAAAGGATGAAAAAAAAAGTGCGACTCATGGTCCGGAAAATACAGTACCTAATTTGTGTGCAAAGGATACTACGGGTATCACTCCGCATGTGTACATACGTGTGAACAAAAACCACAAACTTTAAATGCACGTCACTTTTAACAATCTCCCCCCCAAAGTCTCACACATGCTCATCCCCCTCATCCCCCCGGAAGCTTTCCACAAGTCAGACCGAGGCGCTACCTGGTCAGTGGATGAGGTAAAATGTTTTATCGCTATATGGAGAGAAGACAAGGCCGTGCACAACAAGCATACCACATTTTTTATTGTACTATAAGTCTTTCCGGAGTATAAGTTGCACCAGCCAAAGAATGAAAAAAAAAAGGCGACTTACAGGGGTAGCAGAGTGCCCTCTAGCGGCCGTCGGTGTGAAAATAACAAACGTGAAATGATATATTTTAATATATACAAACCCAGCCAAAGTATGAAAAAAGTGCGACCTATAGTCCGGAAAACACAGTATATACGATCGAAATTGGTCTATTGCATGCATTTTGGGATGCTTTGTTCATTGTCCATATTGTGCTGTTTTCACAATATCATTGCTGTAATCTCTGCGCTGATCACATGACACCACGTATGGGTCAGTTTAGAAATTGCGCAAAATGAATAAACACGCACTCTCCTCCTGAACGTGAGCAAAAACAGCTATCAAGTGCGCAGCGAATCCCGTATTCAAATCTGTGCGAACGCAAAACTTGATTCCCCGCGATTTAACAGTAACAGTATTGAGTGTGTATCTTAACAATGTTAGCAGTTTGGGGGTATTTTAACATGAAGATGTTAACGATATAGACAGTCGCAAGGCTTAATGTTAGCAGAGTTGTTACAGACTAATAGATTTGTTCCCTTCCCTCGCCAAGTCACTTCTTTGTTGAGAGTTACGTGACAACGTTACGTAGTTTGAAACATAGGAATGTGCTTTAAGTGATGTAAATGTTTGGAATGGAATGTTAGGAGATGGCGCTTAGTTCTGTTTTGTTCTGTTGAAATGTGCTCATTTGCTGTGCTAACTGAGCAAAAACTCTATTTTTTGATAATATTTTAAGTTTTATTGATATTATATATCGTGTATATATTGTCCCTATATATATGTGTGTATATATATATATAATCATTTTGCGCCAACCAAGTTAAAAGAAACAGAGAATTGTTTATATATATATATATAAAAACCAAGTTCAAAGAAACAGAGAATTTTATATATATATATATATAATTCTCTGTGAATTTTATATATATATATTTTAAATATATATATATAAAATTCTCTGTTTCTTTGAACTTGGTTTTTATATATATATATATAAACAATTCTCTGTTTCTTTTAACTTGGTTGGCGCAAAATGAATATATATATATATATACACACACACATATACTGTTATATATAACAGAGAATTTTTTCAGAGAAACAGAGAATTTTATATATATATATATAAAAATTCTCTGTTATATATAACAGAGAATTTTTTCAGAGAAACAGAGAATTTTATATATACAGTATATATATATATATATATAATTCTCTGTTTCTTTGAACTTGGTTGGCACAAAATTATTAATCGCACAAAGTCAGCAGGCTGTCTAAACCAAAGTGCTAGCGGTTACAGTGATTTGGGGCTCAGTGTTCATGAAGCTGTTTTTTGTGTCTCTGATTTTCCTTCCAGCACTCTGTGGAAGCTGTGAATGCTGGCGTGAATCCCATTGGTGACACCTCGTACAACTCCAGTCACTGGGACCTGGGTAGTTCCTTCTTTTTTGCTGGAACTGTCATCACAACCATAGGTAATGTGACTACATAACTAGTAATAAGAGTAATAATACACTAATGTTATGTATTTGTGTACGTAATATGTTATGTAATATTACACTAAGTAGTAGGAGAGTTACATAGAGAGTAAAATTATTGTGTAACTGGTTTATGAAAAATGACTAATATGACTATTCGTCTTACTGTATTTTCCGGACTATAAGTTGCACCAGCTAGCTAGAGTGCCCTCTAGTGGCTGTCCATGTGAAAATAACAAACATGTACATTTTCACTATAGCAGATACTGATACACAACCCCTAGAGTGCCCTCTAGCGGCTGGCAGTGTGAAAATAACAAAGATGTGAAATTATATTTAGTAGTCGCAAACCCAGCCAAAGAAAAAAAGTGCGACTTATAGTCTGGAAAATACGGAATTTATAGCCGATGATTGATTCTACGTCTCTTCAGAGGGTGGTGCCATTTCTTGGGGCACCTCTTCCACGGTTTCCGAAGGTGTTTGGCTCTTTTCTGCGAGGCTGCCAAACATTGTGATCGGCAGTCACGACGTCGTCCATTTTGTTGCAAAATTGGACCGATCGAACCATATCGTCGTTCCCATTCCTGTGACATCAGGATATTTTATATATATTTAACTGTATATTTTATATATACAGTTTCAAAAACCTGCGAAGTCGCAAACCCACAAAAAATGAACCGCGAAGTAGCGAGGGACTACTGTACACCTTTCTTGTTGAATAACTACGTAACTACTGCTCCTCTTCATCTGCCATCATCTCCTGCTGCGAGGAAATATATGATACTACTACTATACTTGCAAATAAAAAAAATCAAAATTATTGCACTGCCTGAACTCGTTTGACCATGAGAGATGAAAACTAAATTGTATATATTTTTATGTTCCATTTCCATGTAATAAATTGTAATGTATATATTGCATGCATCAAAGTTCAGCCATATGTTCTAAAAGTTCTTTGGCTTCTTCTAGGTTATGGAAACATTGCCCCCAGCACAGAAGGGGGAAAGATTTTCTGCATTCTATACGCCATTTTTGGAATCCCGCTCTTTGGCTTCCTCCTGGCAGGTGTCGGAGATCAACTCGGTACAATATTTGTCAAAAGCATTGCCAAAGTGGAGAAGATGTTTAGGGTAAGATCCACTGCTCATACTGTACATCCCACTGATACTGCCTCGGTGGTTTGGATGTCATTATTATACCTGGTTAAATGACAACTTTACAGATATATATTTTTTTATAGAAAACAATACCGTAATTTCCGGACTATTGAGCGCACCTGAATATAAGCCGCACCCACTTAATATTTAAAAATAATAATAATAATTTTACGTATATAGGCCGCACATCTCTATTAGCCGCAGGTGTCCACATTTGTAACATGGGATATTTACGCAGAAATATATATTTTTTTCACTTTTAATTAAATAAATGCTTTTTTTCCGAACAGTGCCTGTAACACGGCTGGTTACACGTTAGCTCTTTCGTGCTTCGGAGCCCCGACCGTAGTTGGAATGCACAGGGGAGACTTAGTGATCTACTCCAGGGCCGAAGCTAACGTTAGCTCCAGGGCTAACTCCCTTCACTTTGTGCTTGATTCGAGCAGTCTCCTCGTAACATGGCGCTAGTCTTTTAATGCAGAACAATTGGTCTGCAAGTGGCGAAGCAGTTTTGAAGGCCTGATCGCCTCATTAGTGAGCCGCTCCCCACATATTATGTAGCGCAGGCTTGGTGGGTGGGAACAAACTGTCGCAATAAATCCATATTTCAGAAACTTTCCAAAGACGTTTGTTGTTTTGCTAGCTTGGGGATTTCAATTTAGCGGTAATGTATCATGATGTCTGTTCGGAGCAGACCTTTTAAGAAGGTAGCGGATGTAAGTGCGATATGTGACCGAGGCAAGTATCTCGACACGTATCAAGAGCCATACACAGATGCGGTGGAGCAAGTCTAGCGTCAAGTAGTAAATAAAACATTGTTTCTATGCGGCCCGATACCAATTGACCACCAACGAACAGGTGCGGGTCTGTGGCCCGGTGGTTGGGTACCACTGACCTTGCGACATTGCGAGGGTTAATACAGTTACTTTGCTACTCTGTTTACAGCGCTTGTATGTTGAATGTTTCATGTTCACTTTTTAGTGTGCCGTGTTGCGCCCTTTCAACCAACGGGGATGGCGTCATTCCTCTACGATAACAAAAAAATTTTAAAAAATTTCTTTTTTAACTTAGGTGATCCATTTTTTTGGATGCATAAGCCACATTGAATTATTAGTGCTCAAATTTTTTTTAAATTTGAAAATATAAGCTTTACATCCATTACATACAACACTCAAACAAGCCCAGCTAGCTCAGTCGATCAGCGCATGAGGCTCTTAATCTCAGGGTTGTGGGTTTGACCCCCATGTTGTGAAATGTTTTTTCCTTCATTTCACTCTTATTGTCTGCAATGTCATGTGACAAATAAAGATTCTTGATTCAAACAAGCGGCGCTTTGGCCCAGAGGCAATGTCTCTGTCGTTGGTGTGGAACCTCAGCGTTCACCTCCTGGACAAGTTCGAATCCCGGTTAGGGCAGTTGGTACCTTCCAGTGGACTCACCACCCGCAGGAAGAGTTAGGGGGGTTGGTACGGTGCAATGTGATTTGGGTGGCGACTGCTGTCCCCGCGACCCGGTAACGGATAAGCAGATGAAAATGGATGGATGCAAGGATGGATGATTCAAACAACACAGCTCTGTTAAAATGTTTTTCCCATTCATTTTAGGAGAAGCAGTTGGCCTTCGGTATTGTATAATATGCCTCCCATTGAAGTGTTTTGGGAAAACCCTTCTGTTAATCTTTGCCTAAACAACATTCATTTGTCCTATTTGTTTTACCACAGAACAAACACAACCAGATCAGCCAAACTAAGATCCGTGTGACTTCCACCCTCCTTTTTATTCTGGCTGGCTGTATTCTTTTTGTCACCATCCCGGCAGTGATTTTTAAACACATCGAGGGATGGACGGCTTTAGACTCAACATACTTTGTGGTCATTACTCTGACGACAGTTGGAATAGGAGACTACGTCGCAGGTGAGATAATATACCCATATGAAATGTTTTTAAACTAGGGATGTCGGATGTGAACTCTTTTTAGGTCACACGTCATTTGGCGTTGTGTCATCAGGATTTCATTATCGTAGGACAAACAGATAACAAGTCTTGCAGATGTTACGTAATTACGGACCAATATATTGGTCGGCCAATAATATCGGACATCCCTAGTTGAACCCGTTCTTAACAGAACTGAACTAGATTGCATGGTATCGTCGCGTGGGAGACCGTGGTTCGATTCCCCGACGGCGAGTATCGAACGTTACCGGGGCGGTGGTGGCTTGGTTGTTAAAGAAACGGTCTCGGCCCCGGAAGGTTTCAGGTTTGAGTCCACCAGCAGCTAAGTTACCACTGAGGTTAGGGATATCAGACTTGCACCCAAACATGACCCAGAGAAGAAAGTTTGTTCGAGAAGAATTCGACAGCACAATCAAAGGTCTTAACGATCCCATCATTTGCATGCCATATACCATTTGAAGTCCCTCATACCGCCCTCCTCCCCAGCAGCTCACCGTGCCCCCTAGGGGGCCCCGCCCCACTATTTGAGAGGTACTGCACTAAGTTAAGGAAGCGGACTTGGGTCCAGAAGGCTTCAGGTTCGAGTCCACCATCTGCCAAGTTACCACTGAGGTGCTTTATTTAAGTCAACCATACAATGTCTTGTAAACAGGTGGGGACAGACGGATTGAGTACAGAAAGTGGTACAGACCCCTTGTATGGTTCTGGATCTTGGGTGGCCTGGCCTACTTTGCCGCAGTACTCAACATGATTGGTGACTGGCTGAGGGTCCTATCGAAAAAGACAAAAGAAGAGGTATGGTCTCATCGTCAGTCTGTCTCTTGTCTCCCGTGTTGTGATGATGTGATTTATTTTACGTAGAGTTTAGCACCGAGTGTATGTAGCATAACTGGATAACCATGACCATATTGTTAGCTTTGATCGAAAAAGTAGGGGTCCAGGGGTTTCGAACTTCTGGTCCACTTCCAGCCCACAATCCCCCATCGCTCCCCCTACCACATATCTGCCCTGTGACTTGATGTCAAAGATAATTATATTTTGCCCTTGGGCTAATTTTTTATTTTTATTTTTTCAATTTTTTTAAAATACCACAAACACAACCGCCATTGTGTTCAATCCAGCCCACTTGATGAATTTGCAAATAAAAAAATACATAAAACTCTTCATGTTTAGGATTTTTTTGAACTTTTTTTTTAATATAAATAATAATAATAATAAATATCTTATACAAAAAAAATTACTTTTTGTATTTATAGTTCATTAGGTTATGAAAGTACTGGTCCGGCCCACTTGACATATAATTAGGTTGTATGCAGCCTGTGAACCAAAATGAGTTTGACACTGCTCCGCCTGCACCACCTGCTCACGGTGGCCGTTTCAGAGGGGAAAGAAAAAAACTTGCTGTTTGCAGTGTAGTATTACACAGTATACACATTGATCAATAACCGCATCTAAAATACTGGAGTTTTTTGTAATTGAACACTGATGCGCGTTCGACATACAACTCGTAGTTTGTCAATTTCAGACTTTTAAGTTAGTCTTAGTTACAGTGAGTATCATCTTTGTTTTCGTAATTTTGTCATGAACTACTATTCTAGTCAGCCCAGGTCTCACGATGCAGTTGTACTTGACAGAGATATTTATCGGCTTAGCTAGCCCGATGTGCGGTTTTAAATCTAAATAATCGCCTTCTGTCTATCTCTGGCTTAAAGGTCGGTGAAATTAAAGCGCATGCTGCAGAATGGAAAGCAAATGTGCGGGCCGAGTTCCGGGAGACACGCCGACGCATGAGTGTGGAGGTCCACGACAAGCTCCAGCGGGCGGCCACTATCAGAAGCATGGAGAGAAGACAGCTGGGCCTGGATCAGCGCGCCGTCTCGTTGGACATGCTCTCCCCGGAACGCCGTGCTATTTTCAACAGTTTGGACACCAACAGCTACAAGACGTCGTCCCAAGAGAGCATCGACATCAAACTGAACAATCTGCGGCTGCGGGGAAACGAGCAGTGCGATCGCAGGTCAGACCACCAGACCTCCTCGGAGGACAACATTTTCAACCGTCTGGGCTCTGTCACCAAGCTTGCCAAGCGCAACAAGAACCTACGGAAGAACATCCCGGAGGAGGCTCGCCGGCCTCATAGCGAGGCGTACAGCTGCACGCCTATCTTCAACTGCAGCACCCTCTCGATAAAGGACGAAAAAGGGAAGAACAGTGGCGAGGACGAGATTGAGGACAAGGAGTGCAACACAAGCTTGTCTGATTTTCCGCTCTACGTAGAAGTCTGTAAACCGCAAAATGAGATTATTAATATAGAGCAGACCAAAGAGAATGACAGGGATGAAAGACCGGAAATAGAGGAGATGCAAATTTAGACGAACAGCTTTTAAATGTGAAATTACCAGATGTGCCTTAGGTCTCCCTTACGGTGGGTGTCATTCATCGTCACAGAGTCACATGATGTCGTGTTGACAGTGTTCGTTATGGCCTGGACATTCACAACGTACTTTTTGGGTTTATAAATGTAAACCTTCTGCAGCTGTGGCCATTATTTCTTTCAGTTGTTGCAAAACCTTCTATCAAACTAAAGTTAGGGGGCAGTGTTGCACATTATTCACAACAGCCTATTAACAAGTACTTCTCAAATAGTGGGGCGGGCCCTATGGGGGGGTGCAATGAGGTACCACAGGGGGGCGTAAGAGGCTTCCAATGGAATATGGCACGCTGGACATAAGTGTACCACTGCTGTAATGCTTGAATGATAACAAGCCGCCAGTCACTAGGTGGCAGCAACTCATACAGTGGTTTGTACAGATAAAAAAATATACGTTATCAGGTTTTCAAAAGTATTTAAATTCGCAGAGGTGTGGGTCGGGTCGTGAAAACACTTCTGTCCCCGAGGGCAGGAGAGAGTTTATTTAGCATCACCGACAGACTAGAGTGGGGAACTACATGTCAAATGTTTACAAATTACCGTATTTTCCGGACTATAAGCATGACAGAATATAACTGAGAACCACTGCTTTAGCCTCATTTCCGCTGTATTTAAAGCTGTCGTCACATGTTTATTTAGCATCACCGACAGACTAGAGTGGGGAACTACATGTCAAATGTTTACAAATTACCGTATTTTCCGGACTATAAGTCGCACCAGCCAAAAAATGCGTAATGAAGAAGAAAAAACCATATATAAGTCACTGGAGAGTATACATCAAATTAACAAACACGTAAAATTTTTATTGCTATAGGAGTAGCAGATACTGGCACACAAGCCTAGAGCGCCCTGTAGTGGCTGGCAGCATGAAAATAACGAACATGTACTTTTTTTTTGTGGTATAGAAGTAGCAGATACTACTACACAAGCCTACAGTGCCCTCTGGCAGCTGTCAGTGTGAAAATAACAAACATGTAAATTTATAGTGGTACAGGAGTAGCAGATACTGGCACACAAGCCTAGAGGGCCCTCTAGTGGCTGTCAGTGTGAAAATAACAAACGTGAAATTCAATATTTTAATAGACGCAAACCCAGCCAAAAGATGGAAAAAAGTGCGACTTACAAGAGTAGCAGATACTGGTACACAAGCCTAGAGTGCCCTCTAGTGGCTGTTAGTGTAATAAATAATTCTATATTTTATTACCTGAGTATAACTCACCTAACCCAGCTAAAGGATGAAAAAAAGTGTGGCTTATAGTCCGGAAAATACAAGTCGCAAACCCAACCAAAAGATGGAAAAAAGTGCGACTTACAAGACTAGCAGATACTGGTACACAAGCCTAGAGTGCCCTCTAGTGGCTGTTAGTGTAATAAATAATTCTATATTTTATTACCTGAGTATAACTCACCTAACCCAGCTAAAGGATGAAAAAAAGTGTGGCTTATAGTCCGGAAAATACAGTACCGAATAGAACCAGAAATAATTTCAGGTATGTTGAACATCCATCCCTGATTAAAGCACACTTAATTGCAGTAAAAGGCAACAAGGCTTATGTAATCTGTAACCGTAACCATTGCAGTTAAACACCAGAGTGTCTTAGGAACTTACACGACGTACATACAGTACAGTCATAGGATATATTCATGTTTTCATATCACACTGCTTATGCATTTTTCCCCCACAGACTACAGTTATTTTTTTTTACCACACCCCAAACTTACTTCGCCACTGTAGGGGTTTAGGATAGTTGTACCTCATGTTACTTCCTTTAGAAATAAAGAAGAAGAAGAACACTTCCATTAGGTTAGCCTTCAGAGTGCCATTGTCTCGAATGAATTCATCACAATTGGTCCAATGTCCACGAGGTTTGGCTATGTCTTAGATGTAGCTATTTGTGTATTCTCATGATAAAGAAAATATAAATTATGTTGTTTTTAAAAAAAAAAAAAAATAGTGTAGATGTTTAAACAATTACCATGTTTCAGATATTTATTTACACACGCTGCCATTTCTTTTAGCAATAAACAAGACCTTGAAGGCATACAGTACATAGTTTATATTCCAGACTATAAGTCCCTCAAGAGTATAAGTCGCACCAGCAAAATGATAAAAAAAGGCAACTTACAGGAGTATCAGATACTGGTACACAAGTCTAGAGTGCCCTCTAGTGGCTGTCAGCTTGAAAATAACAAATATGTAAATTTATAGTGGTACAGGAGTAGCAGATATTGGTACACAAGCCTAGAGTGCCCTCTAGTGGCTGTCAGTGTGAAAATAACAAACATGTGAAATTCTATATTTTAATAGTCGTAAACTCGGCAAAAAGATGGAAAAAAGTGTGACTTAGAAGAGTAGCAGATACTGGTACACAAGCCTAGAGTGCCCTCTAGTGGCTGTCAGTGTGAAAATAACAAACATGTGAAATTCTATATTTTAATAGTCGTAAACTCGGCCAAAAGATGGAAAAAAGTGTGACTAAGAAGAGTAGCAGATACTGGTACACAAGCCTAGAGTGCCCTCTAGTGGCTGTCAGTGTGAAAATAACAAACATGTGAAATTCTATATTTTAATAGTCGCAAACCCAGCCAAAGGATGAAAAAAAAGTGCGACTTATAGTAAAATACGGTAAAAAGGCCGGAGGCCTTACTTTTATTACAAGGTTTGAATTGATTAAAGAAGGTGTTGTATTTACTGAAAGAGATAATGGCCTTTGTTTATGTGCTTGAAATCAAATTCTACAACTAAAAAAAAAAGAAACACACAACACATTTTATTGATTATCAGGGCCAAGAGTAAGAAATCTGTCAAAAAACAAATTCTTGGAGGCATCCTTTAAATGCGAAAAGCCCATAAAAGACATACAATATGAGCATTGAGCTTCTGAAATATTATCAGTAAAATTTCATCAGTATTTATTTCAAGTTTTTGCTTTCTGTTGCAAGTGTTGGGCACCTCCCTTAAGCGAAACATCTACCATTCGAAAATATACCCAGTAGCAGTAAAGCAACTCACAAGATTCAAGATCTGCCAATAAAGCCAAATTGGGTTTTAGTTCGTTAGCTTAGCCACCCTTTGGGGAAGAATGAATTTCAAAACTAAGATGCTTTATGTGAGCACGGTGCTAACACACAGCTGACAGGTCTCTATTACACTACATACTATGGTAGTCCTAACACACTCGCTGTGTGGCCGACCGCACCTGTAAAACACTGCTAGCCTACTAAGATGCTAGCACACTGTGTGCAATGGTGCGCATTCCTTGTGATCAGTGGACAATCAATAATCCCTTTAATTCTTTTCCTTATTTCGAGTAGGTCAAGTTTGGAAAAAAAAACTACATACTTCCCCTTTAAATTATAGGTTATTTGCAACAAGCAATTCTCAGGTACCAAATCCTCTGCATAATTTGTGTTTTTTCTTAGGTGCGCCCGATAATGTCGGCCGACCAATATTATCAGCTGATATTAGCTTAGTTGTGTAATATCGGTAAGAATCATTATCGGTTTTCCCTCCGATAATAAAATACCCGATAACTCAATGCCTGGGTTTCGCCAAGATGATGTGAACCCAAACGGCTGCGTATGTCAACATCAGAAATTAAGGATTTGGCATCCTTAATATAGAATACAGTGGTCCCTCGTTTATCGCGGTAGATAGGTTCCAAGGCCTGCCGCGAGAACTGAATTTCTGCGAAGTAGTGAAACCATATTTTTTCGCAGTAAAATGATGACGAAGAAGGTGATGATGACTTTTACTGCGCAGCCGATGATTGATTTTTATGTCTCTTCAGAGGGTGGTGCCATTTCTTGGGGCAATTTTTCACGGTTTCCGAAGGTGTATGGGTCTTTTTTGCAAGGCTGCAAAAACATCTGTGATCTGCAGTTGCTTCCGCTGCTTGTTTTTCCAGTCGAAAAGTAGCTTGTAGGCAGTCACAACGTCATCGATTTTGTTGCAAAATTGGACCCATCGAACCGTATCGTCGTCCCATTCCTGTGACATCTCTTGCAGATCCAAATCCGGGATACAGGATATTTTATACAGAGAGTTTTCAAAAACTCGCGAAGTTGTGAATCCGCGAAAGATGAAGCACGATATAGCGAGGGACTACTGTATCGGCATATCAGATATCGGCAAAAAGCTAATATCGGACATCCCTAGTTTTCTTTTATGAACTTCGTATTTATAATAGTGCAGTTATCATTGGTGATCAATTGGGTAGTGCGAATATTGTCTTGCATGAAACCAATTTGTGGTACAAAAAAAAAAGTGGGGACTTTTAACTTAAAGGATAAATCTTAGAAAACTATAGCTATTAGATGTCCAATCATTCCTTTTGCCCACCCGCTAAAGACAGCTACGATTATGAGTATGAGTTTCTTTGCCAGTTTAGTTGTGATCCATGCTAGACAATTACACTAAGTCGCAAAATCGATCGTCCAAGATAACGTTTTTAGTACGAGTGATTTTAGAGCTGTAAAGCAAAGCATCGACAGACAAGTTCCTTCCTTTTTTCGGGTTTTTTTTTTTTTTTTTGCTTATTTTCAAACTCACTTGTAAAGGGATTGACAACTCTTACACCAAACATCTAAAAACAAAGAACTCCATGTGTTTTCGCTAGCTAGTCACATTATCAGTGTGGATATTTCCGAAACAAAAGCAAGACATTGAACAAAAAATGGCAGGTTTTGTGGCAAAAGACCCACTAAATTAAAAAAACAAAAAGTTTAATTAATAATAATAATTTAGCCAAATACACTATACGATGTGGGTTACAGTTAAAATAATTTAGCTGCTGCTTTTAAAACCGACCGGATTTTTTTTTTAAAACAACACTTACCTCAATGTTTTTCTTGAAAGAGGAAACTGTAATGTTCCAAAGGGATTCAACAGTGAATCGTGTGCTGAGCCCTGATTGGTGGGTTTATGGTGCCCATTGCTTCGACCCTCTCATTACGTATATTTGATTTTGCTTCGATAAAAAGAAACAACAGGTGTCGCTGCAAAGTCTCACCACGTAAAAGACTCGAGTGAAGTACAGATACCTTAATACTATATGTTACTTAAGTACAGAAAGGAATTACTAACGAAGTACATGTACCTTTTCATAGTAATATTTCCATAAATTGGATTAGTTCCAAATAAAAACTGAGTTGAGATTAATCAGAATTAATCGTGATACGTTACAATCGTGAATGTAATTTGCCTGATCAAAAAATGTAATTGATTGACAGCCCTGGTAATTACGTAGGATGCGGTGATTACCTTTTGGAAATTAGGATTACTGGTTGTACTTTTGCGTAATACAGTGGATACGATACAGGAAATTCTGAATTTTAAAACTACAATCTAACTTTGACTGTGGAAACCTGCAGGAAGCAGGAACCTCATTTTCTTGGTCATTGAAAAGAACTATAGTTTTGAGCGCCAACTAGTGGCAACAGAAAATTTGTAAACATTTTATGAGCTGCTCTAAGTTTCTCACAGACAAGTGAAAACATCCTTTTCAAATAAGAGCAGGGCACTCTGTTACAAATGACGTATGGCAAGTACCAAGAAGTTAATAAAACAGCATTGCGCTAGTATGCCTAGCGCAACGCTTTTGCCCTGTCCTGATTTTCAGTCCTGATCGCTGAAACATTTCCAGATGCGGTCCAAAAGTGGCACACCGAGTTACAAACGCAACAACCGTGCGGGATAAACACATGTGTTTGCACAACTTGCCTCCACAGTGCCATCTAGAGGTGGGTGGGTCCCCAGACAAAATGCTATTGTCGTGTGGGTAGGTTCTATTTGGTGCCAAATTAGACAGACCGGCCATTAGTTTAATTAGTAAAGGCAATCACAATACTGGGCATCACGATTTAAGGCGGGGGCAGTCAAACATATGGCCTGGGGACCAAAACTGGCCCACTCGGGTGTTAAATCCAGCTGCTTGATATTATTTGAAAATATGACTTTGAGGGTTTTGGCATGTGAGAATCTGTTGTACTTAACCCGCACTTGGACTGTCGGGACTGTAAATGCGACATTCTTACTTTTGAAGTAAAAAAGTTTTTTTTTTTTGCTCTGGTAATCAATTAAATAAACTGAATGCGTAATAAAAAAAAAAAAAGTAAACTTTTTTTTTTTGTTACATTCTGTAAGACAAATGGTACTGTTCTAGTGCTCGTGCTTTAAAATTCTAAGAGCCGTCCGTTCTCATGAAGTCACACGCCGCACCTTATTGAAACTTCTGTAATGTCTGGGACGAGTCCCTTCTGATGTGAACGCGCTTGAAAACAATGAGCTGTAAACCAGTCCGAAAGTCCCTGTCCTGTCTCTCTGTATAAAGTGCTGTGTATTCTGTCCCTCAGAATCGTCCGCTCTCATCGTTTTCTTTCAGAGACAAAGAAAATAAAATCAAAATCTTCTCAAATCTTTCTACTCGATTTTTCTCGGTGGCCTGGTTACAAAAGCTCAGTCAAAACACACACAAACTATCCCTTTTCCACTGTTTTATTGAACCACTTACAATAAATATAGAGGGGAAAAAAACACAAGGGAAAAAAAAAAACACTTCACGACTACAGCTTGCTTGAGGAATACAAAAAAAAATGAATGAAAAGTGTGCAAATACAAAGCAAGATCAGAAAATACACATACACAATGCTTAAAATTAGAAAGGTTAACTGAATAATACAGAAGATCATCTTTATTTCTTTTTAAGTTTATTTTTCCTTGTTTCTATTTTTGTTCACTCGCTGCAAGTTAATTCACTTTATTTTTGTACATTATTTTCAGAGAACACAAAAAAGAACATTGTTTTTTGTTTTTACATAACAGCCTTAGAACAGGTAACACCTTTCCGAATATAACGCTTACACTTTTATAGTCTAGGCCAGGCATGGGCAAACTAAGGCCTGGGGTCCAGATGCGGGCCGTTCAGCTTTTTCATCTGGCCCGCCAACGTTTCCAAATTATATCATTTTTTTATATTATCATTATACTTCTGCCTTTTCCCTGCAATACCCAAATTTCCCCAATAGATGGCGTAGAAAATGGTAAAAACATTTTAGCATTTTAGCCTTTACCCAGCGCAAATTTTAGGACAATTGTGGCCCCTCGAGTCAAAAAGTTTGCCCGCGCCTGGCCTAGGCCCTGTTGTGCACAACATCATTTACAGCTACAGTTAGCCATTAGCGAAGTCACATAAGCAATTTTCTCAGCGAAAAAACATGCACGGTTTCATTTAGATTACAGTAGATGCTAAAAAAATCACAGGTGTGTCTATAAGCGATGTACGTGTATACAAGTGTTATACGAGACAGAAACAAAAGACAAATCGTTGCGTGACTTCACCGTGAGCAGAGCAGAGGGACCGTATGTACATGTTCAGTCGAAGTCTCTGTTGACTAAGACCAGAGGAGCCACCAGGGTCCACACATAGAGAGCGATGCAGATCCAGCTGGAGGAGATCTTCACCCACACAGATGGCCACTTGCTGGTTATGGTTTCATAGTTGGAATCGGGACTGGAGGGACAAGCACGTACACACACACCGAGAGAGAGAGACAGTTAGAGGTACACTACACATTGCGATTTATTTTGAGTCACTCTTCACCAAGGCTAAGCTAACCTGGCTAACACCTTCATCCTCACCTTCTTTGGGCATTTTTTGGAACGCTTGCTATTGTTCTCAAGTGCAAAAAACAACGTACTTTTTACGATGACATGAGAATTTTGATAATGCAAGTGTCGTAAAATTGCTGAAAAACAGGGAAACTCACCTATACCAGTTAGTGAGTGTCATCATGATGTAAAGGGACGCGAGGAACAGCATGAAGTGGAAGAAAGAATAGGAATAGGTGACGCCATCCTTCTCATTATCCATTGCTCTGTTGGCGCCGCCGCCCTCCTCAAAGCTGTCGGTCTGCGGCCCTTCATCGATCAGCGCTGACTCGTCACTAGTAAGGGTCAGTTTGCTGACTTTGTCGTTGGTCGAGTTCCGAATACTGAGATACAAAGAGAGAGAAAACCAGTGTGGGACATTGGTACACAGACTGGGGTGTTCATGTTCGGTTACTGGTTTGTTCGAAACAAAAAGTAATAAAAAATAATTTTATTAAAAGTAGGAATGAGGAATATATAATAAGTGTTTGTAATTAGTTTGCCTTAGCCGAATATTCTGAATCAAAATCTTCACGGTATTTCAGGTCAAATAAAATAAAATAAAATAAGTGAGTCACTTGAATGGGAGGTATGTCAACTATTTCAAAATGGTGGCGTCAAAATATGTCAATACCTAACACAACCACAAAAACAAACATTTGATTGACATCTTTACCTGGAGTACAGGACACACATGAGGAAAATGATCAATCCCACAATGCCTTGGGCATCCCACCACTGAACCACATGATCCTGCCCAGCAGGAGTAGTGCTGTTAAGCCCAATAATACCCAGGAGGCTTGGGTTACACTTCCTGTCTCTGTGGAAAAAAACAAAAAAAAAAAATTTTAAATTAAAGCTTAATGTAAATAAATTGACAAAAACTTTAAAAAAAATCCTCGAAAACCATTAAAACTAGGCTCGCCAACTTTGAAAGGCAAGTTTATTTGGCTGTTGCAAAAATTTTTTTTTTTTCATCCTTTGACTGGGTTTGCGGGTTTCCTCAGTTGCGACTTATATATTAAAATATATATTTTCACACTGACAGCCGCTAGGGGGCACTCTAGGCTTTTTTTTTTTACCAGTCTCTGCTACTCCTGTACCACTGAAGATTTTCATGTTCATTATTTTCACACTAACAACCAAGACAGCGACATTCCCGCTGTGGCTCTTAGTTTAGCCATGTTTACAGTAACTCTCAAGTGACGCCGTTTGGTTATGTTAGCCACATGGCTAAGGAGTGTACATGACTGAGCCTGTTGTAGACATCATAGATGCCACCATATTATACGTACATTACCATGCTAACATAAAGGGACGCAGAAAAAAAGGAATGGAATAAGTCCTACCTGGCTCATTAGTCATGGCAGACCAGGTCAGGAACATAATGAAGAGGGTAACAATGGAGGACTGCAGCAGACCAGACCTTGGCTGGGACTCCTTTATCAAGAGAGATACAACCATTAACAACAGTTAAAAAATTTTTTAGGTGCACAAAATTTAGGTGAAACCCAGATTTTTAATTGTGTCTCCTTTAACATCATGCGGTGCCCTTGTTTATTGCTCTCCTTTTATATAACTTTTATATAATTCAATAACAAAAATACAGTGGGGCTTCAAGATACGCGTTTAATCCGTTCCACGACAGCACTCGTATGTTGATCCGCTCGTATCTAGACTGCGTTTTCCCCATTAAATAATAACTAAAAACCGATTATTTCATTTGATGTTTCCTCGTATCACAAGGAAAATCTTTCGAAAGTTGCTTACTTGTAACTTGGAATACTCGAAGCCCCAATGTACGGGGAACAGAAATGTCTGTTTATTTGAAGCACAACTATATATAAAAAGAAAAAAAGTGTTTAACCCTCCCATTGTCCTTCGCATTTTTGTACACACCCAGTGTCGTCGTAACGAATTTTCATCTTGTTCCAGGACAGGTTGCAAACTAGTTGCGCGGACGCTGAAAGTGTACAAATTGCTAAGGACAACGGGAGCATTAAAAGTTTTGATATGAAAAGTTTTTGACCTAATTACACATGCACTATTACCGGTTATATTCCGACGGCACGCTTGCCAGTAAACACATTAGGTCCTTTGTCGTACCCTTAGCTAGCGAAATTTTGTTAGCCAGGTCTGTCTAAAATAATACATTTTTGCCTTTTAATTAGAGTCTCAGGGCTGAGCTCCATCTCAGATTCAGTTGTCTCCTCTAGTTCAGAGTCTGACCCTGTCCCGAAAGATGTCTTGGCTGAATGGACTCTCAGCAGTGGGGATGGATGGAAAGATTGATAGTAGGGCTAGCTGTTGGGTTGGTTTTTCTTAATGTAATTAAATAATCAATTGCTTGCTTGTTGTTTTCGCACAGCCAATCAGAGACAAAGACCGAGCTGTGCTTTGTCTCTGATTGGTTTAGACCACGGTACGATCCTACCACAAATGTCAGTTCAATCCCAGGAGAACACAGAGAGATGATGCGCTTGTAAAATAAATGTATGTTTTCACCCAGGCAGTGTCAGGTGCACCAGTGTGACCTAGATAAATCAGAAGTTGCACTAAATTTTGGACTCGCTCTGGAGCCCTGAATAAGCTGTTATGTAGGAACTCGTGTACAACATTTGGCACCAAAGAAGCAAAGAGAAAAAAATCTGTCAGGTGACAAAGCAGTTTATCAAAGAATTGCCATTAATGATCAAGTACTAATATTTTAGTATTATATTATATACAACGTAATCGTATGTCGATAACATTCTACTTCAAATGCAAGAAAGAAGTGTCTGTTTACCTGAATCTGGGGCATGATGGACAGGACAGAGATGCCGACACAGAGGAGCATGTTGATGCTGATGAAGACCTTGTTCTCGGTGCAGCCGTCTGACTGGGTGTAGTAAACATAAAACAATACCACAGATACAAGGGACAGCAGGTAGTTGAGTGCGGTGATTGACAGAAGAGCTGTGAAAACAAAGATAATCCTTGAAACACAAAATAGTACGATTCAGTTGATACCAAAAAAGGGGAGAGGACAGATCAGAAAAAAAGCATTTATTAAACCAAAGAAATAAAAATAAATTATAACATCTTATTAGCAAAGGCAATGACCAAGAATGGGAGAAAGAAGACCTTCAAGATACGCGTTTAATCCGTTCCACGACAGCACTCGTATGTTGATCCGCTCGTATCTAGACTGCGTTTTCCCCATTAAATAATAACTAAAAACCGATTATTTCATTTGATGTTTCCTCGTATCACAAGGAAAATCTTTCGAAAGTTGCTTACTTGTAACTTGGAATACTCGAAGCCCCAATGTACGGGGAACAGAAATGTCTGTTTATTTGAAGCACAACTATATATAAAAAGAAAAAAAGTGTTTAACCCTCCCATTGTCCTTCGCATTTTTGTACACACCCAGTGTCGTCGAAACGAATTTTCATCTTGTTCCAGGACAGGTTGCAAACTAGTTGCGCGGACGCTGAAAGTGTACAAATTGCTAAGGACAACGGGAGCATTAAAAGTTTTGATATGAAAAGTTTTTGACCTAATTACACATGCACTATTACCGGTTATATTCCGACGGCACGCTTGCCAGTAAACACATTAGGTCCTTTGTCGTACCCTTAGCTAGCGAAATTTTGTTAGCCAGGTCTGTCTAAAATAATACATTTTTGCCTTTTAATTAGAGTCTCAGGGCTGAGCTCCATCTCAGATTCAGTTGTCTCCTCTAGTTCAGAGTCTGACCCTATCCCGAAAGATGTCTTGGCTGAATGGACTCTCAGCAGTGGGGATGGATGGAAAGATTGATAGTTGGGCTAGCTGTTGGGTTGGTTTTTCTTAATGTAATTAAATAATCAATTGCTTGCTTGTTGTTTTCGCACAGCCAATCAGAGACAAAGACCGAGCTGTGCTTTGTCTCTGATTGGTTTAGACCACGGTACGATCCTACCACAAATGTCAGTTCAATCCCAGGAGAACACAGAGAGATGATGCGCTTGTAAAATAAATGTATGTTTTCACCCAGGCAGTGTCAGGTGCACCAGTGTGACCTAGATAAATCAGAAGTTGCACTAAATTTTGGACTCGCTCTGGAGCCCTGAATAAGCTGTTATGTAGGAACTCGTGTACAACATTTGGCACCAAAGAAGCAAAGAGAAAAAAATCTGTCAGGTGACAAAGCAGTTTATCAAAGAATTGCCATTAATGATCAAGTACTAATATTTTAGTATTATATTATATACAACGTAATCGTATGTCGATAACATTCTACTTCAAATGCAAGAAAGAAGTGTCTGTTTACCTGAATCTGGGGCATGATGGACAGGACAGAGATGCCGACACAGAGGAGCATGTTGATGCTGATGAAGACCTTGTTCTCGGTGCAGCCGTCTGACTGGGTGTAGTAAACATAAAACAATACCACAGATACAAGGGACAGCAGGTAGTTGAGTGCGGTGATTGACAGAAGAGCTGTGAAAACAAAGATAATCCTTGAAACACAAAATAGTACGATTCAGTTGATACCAAAAAATAAAAATAAATCCTAACATCTTATTAGCAAAGACAATGACCAAGAATGGGAGAAAGAAGACACTGAATTGAGATGAGTTCTAAACTGAGACTTTGGCGATTAAATGCATAAATTAACTATAAAAAAATTGAGACTATGTTTTCCCCCCTTTGATTTCATTCAAAGAAGTACAAGTATGTTAGATACTTGCAGATATACATATACATATTTACTGAAATAAAATATAGTTTTAAATTGTGTTCTGATCATCTCCTGATCAGTGTTTGTGCAGCCATTTTCTTTTTTTTGGTTTATCTCGAAACTCTATCATTTATTTATTTATTTATATAGGCTTTCCTTGTATTGCTTAGTACAAAATGGATTACCTATTTAGCACCAATGAACCAGGGTAAATTTAGTCTCATAATAACAAGCAACATACCTGCATACCAGCAGCGGGAATTGCCCTCCTCCATTTTCTCCACCCAAGCCTCATTCCAGGAGTGGGCAAAGTCAATGAGTAAAACCAACTGGATCAAGATGAAGCAAAAGGCTCCGGCCATGCCCACATAAAACCACACTGTCAAAAAACAGATGGAAAGAATGGTCAAAACTATAATGCATGGACGCAGACATGTAATACAATTCAGTTGCAAGATTTTTATTTAATATGTGATGTGTAGGGATGTCTGATATTGACTTTTTGCTGATATCCGATATGCCGATATTGTCCAAGCACTTGTGACATCAACCGATACTGATATAGGCCTGATAATATTTATTTATTTATCTGTACAAACCACAGTGAGTCACTGGCACCAGCATTCTGCATACAACCCCAATTATTAAAATGGATTAATTAAATGTGCTGCAACGCTGCCATCTAGTGACTTTCACTTTAATATACAGCCGTTTATCCCCAAAACTATTTTTAAGGGTTAACATCATTTGGTGATCATCATCATCGGAGGAAAAACCGATAACAATTCTTACAGCTATTACATAATTATGCTAATGTAGGGTCGATATTATCAGTCAGCCCATATTATCGGACATCCCCAATTATGCGTAGTAAAGTTAGTATTGGACATTAATAAAAATGCATATACCACATTGTCCTGATCAGTTTTTAAAACTGACACGAGTACAAGTTTTTTTGTCATTTTTGTACTTACCAAAAAACAGTACTACTATGGATATGTCCTTTTGTTGGGTTTCAATAAATATGAAATAAACTTAAACAGAAACAGGTACGCAGTACCAAAAACATTTTCTTTTGGTATCCTGTGGTCTGCTTTTGAAGACCTAAATATTAGGTGTCTGAAGAGAATTTTTAAAAGGTCTTTTCTTAAGCTGCAATTGTTAAGTCATAATATCGTAATCTACCAACTGAATATACAGTTTTATTGTTTTTATAAATAAATAAAAAAAATGTTTTGTGACATCCCAAATTGTATTTATGTTAGAAAGTAATTTTTCGGAGAACACCAAAATCCGTACTGTATTGTAACATTCTTTATTGTTATCAATTTCTCGATTAAAAAAAAATGGTGAAAAAATTAAATGAATTTTTTTAAAAAGACAGAAAAAAATATTACCAGTAGTAAAGGGTCCATCGGAGATAAAAAAGGCTCCAACGGTTATGCCAGTGGCTGCAATAAACTTAAAGAACCAAAACCTGAGAGAGATGGAGAGAGAGAGAGAGATAGAGAGAGAGAGCATTACATTAAATATTGAGCAAAGTTTCAAACTTTTCACACCAGTCTAGACCACAGACATTTTGACATTGAAAATAGTAAATACACTAAAAGCTTTGCTAGTACAACACAATATATTTCTTTTCCCTTTTTTACTTGTATTATGTATAATACACTGAGCTACATAATTTGTTTTGTAGCACGATAGTGGTTGGATTAGGGTTTATGCTAGTACTAGATCTAATCCAGGCAAAAATTAACATTTGACTCGCACTGAGTTGATGTTATGTTGTCACAAGACAAAAAAATATATAAATGTACAACAGGGGGAAAGCAGTAGATCACTAAATCTGTATGTCCAATTTCTTCCAAAAACAGCCTTTCCTTCATTAACAACAAGCATTTAGACTTTAAGAAAAGAGCTCTTTTAAATCACAGATGTATGGGTAGATGGAAGACCTTACCCGTTGTGCAGTGCCGCTCTGGGATCCCGGCTGCTTTTCACTTTAATCATGAGTAGGGAGAAGAGGAGGAAGAACATGGCCATGCCGAAGCAGATGCGGTAGACAGCCTTGTAGCCGACCAGCACATCGCAGTTCACATGTCCTTTAACACCAGGAATGGATGACCCAGCCCCTCCCTCACAGAAACCTGGAATCTGAAGAGTTCAATGAATTATAATAATTATATTAATTCATAATAATAATAATAGTAGATCGGAGTGTCCACAGGTTTTCAGATTGGAAGCTACTATTCAAATCAGGAGGTTAAAGCAGTACTTCTCAAATAGTGCAGTGAGGAGTGGGGGTTGCTTGTGAGAGGCTTCTGATGAAATATGGCACGCTCAACAGAACTGTGCTGTTGCTGTAATACTTGAACGATAAACAAGGTTCCAGCCACTAGGTGGCAGCAACTCTAACACTAAGATCTAACATGCACCTTTTCTTACTCAATGACCTATCCTTATGACTTGCTTATGACATATTCTTATGACATACTATTCTTCTTAGTCTATGAGTATACCTGTACCTTTTATGTTTATTATGTATGTATTTTTGTATTTTGTGTGTACTGTAGCTTGATTGTTAATGGATTGACTCAATTTGTAAGTCCCTTTGGATAAAAGTGTCTGCTGAATGTATTGTAAATTTTTAAAGATTACAGGAAATACATAGTTGGGGTGACAGCGGCATAAAAACATTTTTAACCCCTGGGGAGGGGGTGCATGACATTAAATAGCAATGGTGTTAGCAAAATTTTAAAAGCAAATTTTCCATTTTTATATTTATTTTGATAATTGTAAGACAGTGTTGGAGTCTTCTCTCAGCAAGTGTTTTTTGTAAGTGTGAGACGAATAATAATCTGTGTTAAAAACCTTCTTGAGCTGGCCCTCCATGCCAGGCATCAGCATGATGCAGGCAACCCCGACTCCCAGCAGTAGGAAGAAAGCATAGACAAGCCGGGTCACGGTGGAGTTATTTCCGCTGGGGCAGCACCCGCACAGCAAGCAAGGGGCGCTACCACACAGGCACGGGATCTGGACACACAAAACAAAACCAAATTGACAATGACTTCATAAAAGACGTACATTTTGATAAAAGACTTATTTCTGCCTTCTATTTCTTAACTTTAAATGATTCATTATTTAAAACGTCCCTTAAATAATTGTTAAATTCGTGTCCGTGAATTTCTATTCAGTGTGCAGCTTTGTTTTTGTTTTGTTTTCAACATGGCGGATCAAATCTCTGTCAGAGATACTACGTCATAAATTGTTCACTGCGGAGCCGACATATTCTACGGCTCAACAATAACAGATTTAAGGTTATGACAACAGTATACGACCATTCGTAATGGCCAACTATAAGGAGCAGTTTCCCCGTGTGGGTTCACAGTGTCGAATTGGGCGACGTTATTAGACTCTATTGCAACTGTTGTCTGACATGACGCCGTGGTTTTTACGGTAAACAGGGGAACGGCGTTTCGCAATGGTTTCTTGGAATGGAATGGATGCCTTCTTCTTATTACAACTCACAGTCGATACCTTAGTCGTATTTAAGCCGCGTTTTTTTAAATTTTATTTTAAAAAGTCATTATTGTACCGTTGGACTAAGCCTTACTCCTCGTCTAGACCGTGGCCTGGTTATCTGCGTAGTAATGATGTTAATTATACCGTTGGACAAAGCCTTACTCCTCGTCTAGACCGTGCCCTGGTTATCTGCGTAGTAATGATGTTATTTTCTGTTTCGAGATGTGGCAACTGGTCACCGGCAGAATTTTTAGCGCTAACACTTACCCAGCTCGCCATGGAGCACAATCCCAGTACGGCTCCCATACTAGCTAAAGTCCGTTCTCAATATTTAGGCTTTTGTTCGCAGTGTTTTGTTGTCGCAGAAAATGGTGGGTGATCCTTCCTTGTGTACTCCCTAACTTCTTCTACAAGCGCCAGGGACCGATATACAGTTTTCGACTTGCTACCCTCTGCTGGACTCTTTCGGTATTATTTTAACGCGGTGGGGGCTCTATTTCTACCACCTCCGTCGTAGCGATAAGTTGACGTGTCCGCCATTTAGTGACGTAAAACGCGTATGTGACGAACGTACACAAATAAAGCCACACGAATAAAAGGAAATAGTTCTGCTTTAAACTTGGCATTGCATGTGCTTGCGTAGCGACGAGTTAGCCAGAAACATAATATTAGTAAAAAAAAATATATATATATATAATGAAAAGTGAAAAGGTTGAAAAAAATATTTATTTTATGCTTGACGTTTTATATATATAGAACTTAATAATAACCTCAAAGAGTATATCTCATATTTTTTGGATTTATATTTATTTATTTTCTGTTATAAAAAGAGAACATTTAATATTCATACAGAAATAAATGCACAAAAATGCATCTTAGCCATTGGCTAGAATGCATTTAGATGTCACTAACTTCAAGAGAGCACAAGATATTAACACTTTAATATATTGTACAGAGTAAAATGTAAAATGGCGCCTTTCTCTGTGTTACGATTCAAGCACCACATTCACACACTTATTTACAACATCAGAGGGAAAAACTTGAAAGAAAAAAAATAGTACCATCAAAGAACACAACTATTGTACACTAGTCCCTCAACCTATGTGGGGGTAAGTACCAATCAAAAAGTATTGCTTTATCATTTTTGGTTTGTTTTGAGCTAATTGCTAACATACAGTATGTGTTTGCTTCACCCTTGTTAGTGTTTATAGTTTAATAGTTTTTTTAAACAACAGTACATATTATTTTTAGGATTACAAATATTATTCTAATCTTCCAAAAATATTTAAACTAATATTTTTGACACACCCATTAAGACACTGGTGTGCACAATTCTGAATTAAAATATTGCTGACATGCAGGAACAAAATCAGGATATTAAATAAAATGTCATACCACCTGCGTACATCACTAGTGTCTACTAGTCTTTATTCACAGTGAACACAACACGTTGCTTGTTTTTCTATATATCATTACAAAGTCATATAAACATGTAAGGGAACCTTAATTTCTATCTCTCTATCTATCTATCCATCTATCCATCCATCCATCTATCTATCTATCTATCTATCTATCTATCTATCTATCTATCTGTCTGTCTATCTATCTATCTATCCATCCATCCACTCTCTCTCTC